CCTCCTCCTCCCCCTCCTCCCCCCACCTCTCTCTCTTTGGGCTGGGGTACTTCTCTCCTCTGCCAAGGGGTGCTACTCACCTGTATCAGGGCATGTCTTTCCCACTCACCCTAACACCTCACATGCCAGTCTCCTCTGGAAACAAACTCTAAGACATACCCAGAAATAATGCTTTGCATTCTCTAGGAGTTCCTTACTCCAGCCGAGTTCACAGCTGAAGTTAACCATCACAAGAACCCCTCAGCATCTTCATTCCTAATTATCTGCTTTCATCTCTGATGTTGAATTTTCACGTTTGGGTTTTGGTTAAAGGCCAGAGCCTGGAAAGCATCGTACACATTGGACCAGTGGTTCCTGGCATGCCATGAGGAAGGATCCATGACCATGCCATGTCCCTGCCATCACCTGCTGGTGACTCCTGAACCATTTCTTCTGATAGATTTTTCCTGAAGCATCTGCCATGATGCTGGTTTGTCCTAGATATAAGCCAAGATATAAGATGTGGTTATTACTGTAACTGAAACGTACTACATCCTCATGGCACCAGGCTCTGTGCTCAATGCTTGAGTGATTCAGTCACCTACCCAGTGTCCCAGGAGCTAAAATCCATGTTTTATAAGTGAGAAGGCTGAGGTACAGAGAGGCAGCCCTAAGTCACCAGATTGGATTCCAAATCCCATCTTGCTTTCAACTACTGGACATCAGTGAATCCAAAACTGGGGGCAAATATGTTATAGAGGGACCCATTGACTCTTTTGCCCAATTCTTTCTATAGGTTCACTGAAGAGCTACATCTCTCCCTGTAGCCACATTTGGGACACTGAGAGGGGACACCTCCTGATGCTTAGAATAAGACTCAGCACTTAGAGTCTGACCAAAGTGATTTCTTTACCCAAACTAAAATTCTCCAGGGAAAGCGACCCCTAGTGAGGGTTAGGTGCCCTCAGGAACCCTATAGGACTGAGTATGCTGCTGCCTCACAAAATCTGTGGGGCCAGGGAGGTCTGTTCTCAGACCCCAATGGGCATTCCAGGTTCTTGTCTGGTTTTGATTTTTTCAAGTGCCAAGAGTTTTGAAATATGGTTTCCTCTGGATTTTGTCCTATAATACAGGACGGAAGGAGTTGGGGGCCGGTTTTGTTGGTTTCATGGTGGTTGATTTCTGTTCTTCTACCCAATTCCTCCCTGCCAAGTGATCCATGACCACAGTTACATGAGTTGTTAGCTGCTTAATAAATTTTCAAAAGATTGTTTTTCCTTCAATAAATTGTCTTGGCAAATCAGTCAACCATAATAAGTGTGTGCATTTCTTTTTTGAACTCTCAAGTCTATTCTATTTATCTATGTATCTACCCTGCTGTGTTGATGACCACAGCTTTGTAGGGCATCTTAAAGTGGGCAGTGTAACATTGGATGCCAGAATTCCAGTACCAACTGTGGTCTTTTTTGTCTTCTTATTCCACATGAATTTTACAGTCAGCTGCCAATTTCTGCAAAAATTACTAACTAGGTAATTCGTTTTTGAAAATGGGTCTTGCTATGTAGCCCAGGCTAGTCTCAAACTTGCAGTGATCCTTCTGTCTCTGCCTTCTGAGTGTTGGGATTACAGGTATGTGCCCCCACCAGCTGTGACCTAGGGTTTTCATGTGGACTGTGTTGAATTTACAGCACATTTTGAGAAATACTGATTGCCATTGAAACAAGCTAGCCTTCTAGTGTGTGACTGCACAACACCTCTCCATTTCTTTAGGTCTTCAGCAACTTCTTTCATCAATGTTTTATAGTTTTATGTCTTGCAGTCTTCTGCTAAAAACTTTACATTACATTTAATTAATTTGTGTGTGTGTGTGTGTGTGTGTGTGTGTGTGTGTATGCACATGGCATAGTGTGCATGTGAAGGTCAGAGGTCCTGATATTGAACCCAGATTGCTGGGCTTGGTCGCAGCACCTTTACAGGCTGAGCCATCTTTCTGGCCTTTGCAGTCCTTTTGTTATATGTATAGTGTTCTGCTCTCTTTGGTGAGGTTGTGGGTCTAATTGTGATCTTATTGATGGGTTTAGAAAGTGCTCTGTGCTCTGGCATGGTAAAGGCAGGGCATTTGAAGTGGACTGTCATTTAATATGCTTGATTAATCAAGACCGACTGTATGTGATGCATTTGAATGCTCATATAGGATATAGTAAAGTAACCATGGAAACCACTGAGACTTTGAGAGATCAGTAGGTGGTCAGGAGACTTTAGGGCTTTGGGTGGGGCATTCTGTGTACGTTCCATACCCCACTGCATCCATCCATAAAACCCATGTCATACATCATCCTTCCACTCTAAATAAATACGTAGGTAATAAAATATTTAAAACAAAATTAAAAATAGTTTTTGTCCAACATATTAAAAAATTAGAGATTTCATATCAGCACCCTGTCTTGAGCCCTCGGCAGGCTGATCACTCAGGGGCCCACAGGGAGCTCCATCAGCTGGAGCTGCACAGCCCCCACCCCTGGGCCTCCATTCTGGTTTTCCCTCTGCCCATCCTCCTCGTTATTTACATTGTTCCCTGCCTGTTGCCAACCCCATTCTCATAGTAAAGCCCTCCTCATCATTTTGAATTAGCTGAGTAAAATGCTTGTTCCTTGCAATGAAAACAGTCTGGAAGGGAACCTGGTGGCCTCCATGCCCACAGCTGTCTCCACTCAATCACTGCAGATGCAGTGTGGTCAACCATCCATGCTACCCAAATGCCATTTTTGTGTTCCAGAGGTTATGGATAGCCCCCTAACCCAAGGAAGGTATATTTTTCCTTCTCCAAGCCAAGGGCATGGCTTGTATTGAAATCAGCAAGCTGGATCTGACCAATGAGAAGTAACATTACATCTACCAGCAAGCTGGATCTGACCAATGAGAAGCAACTACATCTGTTGGAGGCCTTCCTTTCCCAACCTATAGCAATAGATGCTCTTTAAAGAACATGGTTTTTGTTACCACTCTTTTCCCATTCTATTTCCTTTGAAAATAGATTCGTAGGCTTGGCACATTGACCACCCTCTTGTGACCATGAAGTCACCATAGGTCATATAGACACAGAGTCAAATACCCAAATAGTAACAAATGTTGGATGATGGAGAGGAAAGGCTAAAAGAAACTGGGCCCTCGATGGCACTGCTGAACCTTCTCCGGACTCTTGCTGGCAATGGGCTTGTTCTGGACTCTTGCTGGCAATGGGCTTGTGACCTGAATGGTGATTATCCTGCTGGTTGACTAGATTTCATGCTACCTGTAGCTGAAAGTATCCCAGACCTTTGATACATACTCTTAAGAAGCGGGGACTCCTAGTCTCATCTCACAAGGCTTTCTGTGGTTCTGCAACGGTAGAAGCACTGACTACGTGAATCTCTTCAGAGTTGAGCCTAAGCTACTCTTCCATCTGATTAGCACAAACAAGGTCATTTGTATGGTCGTGAGGATACTTGATCTAGGGTGTGTGTGTGTGTGTGTGTGTGTGTGTGTGTGTGTGTGTGTGTGTGTGTGGTGTTGGAGGTGGAGCTCAGAGCTCAGAGCTGCCAGGTAAGCATTCTTCTGCTGAGCTAAACCCATCCTTTTGATCTGAAATAAAAGAAGGAAGCATGCAACCCTGGCTACACAGGACACCTTCACATTTTTTTGTATTTATTAATTTATTATGTGCATGTGTGGGGGTGTGGGTAAGTGTGTGGGTGTGGGTATGTGGTGTGTGGAGGTCAGAGGACAACCAGCAGGAGTCAGTTCTCTCCTTCTGCCATATGGGTTTCAGGGATTGAACTCAGGTCGTCGGCCTTGGCAGCAAGCTCCTTTTACCCACTGAGCCATCTTGTAGGCCCACCATTTATCTTTTGACATTTTCTGAAGTCTTTTCTCATGTGGAGATAAACAGATGACATATCCATTACAGAAACAGGAGCCTTTGTCACAGATTATTTAAAATTAGATCCAAACCATTCTCGCTCAAGGCCCAGTGTGCTTCCAAGGTGTGTATGGGAGCTTGGTGGCAGTTCTTTCGCCACTCAGCAATACTGATTTTTTAAAGTATTTTATTTATTATTTTTATTTTATGTGTATGTATGTATTGCCTGCATGTATGTAAGTGCACCCATCTCATGCAATGCCTACAGAGGACAGAAAAGGCTGTTGGATCCCCTGGAACTGGAATTATGGACACTTGTTAGCTGCCATGTGGGTGCTGGGATTTGACCCTGGGTCTTCTGCAAGAACAGCCAGTGTTCTTAACCGCTGAGCCATCTCTCCAGTCCCTAAACTGTTTTAAAATTTTTTTATTTATTCATTTTGTGTGTGCATGGTATGTGCATGTGGGCATGTGCATACCACAGCATACATGTGGAGGTCAGAGGACGGCTTGTGGGAGTTATTGATTCTCTTTTTCCCCCATGTGGGATTGAACTCAGATCATCAGGCTTGGCAGCAAACACCTTTACTCACTGAGCCATCTCACTGGCCCCTTGATTCTCTTTTCAAAGAGCAGACTATGCCAAATGTGCTGTGATCCCAGGAGATTCTAAGAGACTAAGACAGGATGATTGGCATGAGTTCAAAGCTAGCCTGGGATACATAGTGAGTTTGAGGCCAGCCTGGGCTTCATAGGGTGACCATGCCCCTACCTCCAATAAAAAGTTATTTAAAAGGCAGTTTATTCTTGGGAGGGGGGGTGTCAGGGTTTCTCTATGTAGCCCAGGTTGGCTTAAACTCATGATTTTTTGCCTGTGCCTCCCAAGTATGTGCACAACCATGTCCAGCTAGGGCAGAGTCTCTAAAAAAACTCTCTCCTCTCTGTCTCTCTAATTTTGGGGGGTTTCCTAGAGCCCAGGCTGGCCTCAGACTTACTACCTGGCTGCTAGGATGATCTTGAACTTTCTGGTTTTCCAGCTTACACCTCCCAAGTGCTGTGATTATAGCTGTTCCACCATGCCTGGCTTCAAAACAAACCTAAGTAAAAGAAAAAAAACTTAAAGAGTTTTATATTTCTTTTAGGTAGAAACTACAGTCCTCTTCATTGTAGCTCTCTGCTGTTCCCCGAACCCTGAGCTCCTTCGCCACCCAGGCCCCAGCTCACTGGGTTATTTAAGGATGAAAAAGTGAACATGATTATCTGGCAATGCCTGACCAGCTGGAAGGCAAAAAAGAAAAGAAATAGAGAAGCAAAGGCTCCCTGTTACCCAGGAGAGCCGAGTTGCCCAGAAATAACTCAAGATTTAAGAAAATGTGCCTGGGTGTGGTGGTGTACTGAGGAGACTGAGACAGGAGGATCAAGTGAATGAGGCCAGGCTACATAGTGAGGCTCTGCCTGTGAGAAAGAGGGAGGGAGGGAAGAAAGGAAGGAAGGAGGGAGAGAGAGGGAGGGAAGGGGAGAAAGGGAGGGAAGGAAGGAGGGAGGGAGGAAGAAGAGGGAGACAGAGAGGGAAGGAGGGAGGGAGAGGGGGAGGGAGGGAGAGAGGGAGAGAAAGAGAAAGGTGTAAAGCTGGTCTTGCCTGTCTGCTGGGCTGCGAAGCTATTTCAGGGACATAGGGTAACTGCCTCTGACCCTGCCCTCCCTGCATTAGAGAGTGTCATCACCACCAAATTCAAGGTCTGAATGCTGCCAGCCAGCTGGCCAGTGCTCCCTTCGAGGGAGAGAAGGTCACTTTGAAGCATGGAGCTTCCTCAGATGGACAAAGCTTGCAGGACTTCAGGCTGCACTGTCGCTGGGACAGTAGCAAATGACCAAACTTAGACCCCACAGTGTCTGTCACCAACATTTTAATAAGAGATGAACGCACATCTGGCTTTCTTGCAGTGCTTATGTTGAGCAGTGGGTCAGCTTTCTCTGGCCTTTGATGGGACCTGGTAGCTTCCTGCCTTTGTCTGTGGGTTTTTTACCCTCACCAAAGATGCTCTAGAACCTGGGAGTACATGTGGTCTGCCCAGACCTAGCTCTAGTCCTTCTTCCCAAGGCCAAAACAATGGCCTCCACTTCCTCCTCAGAAGCGGATTCTCCAAACGCTAGGGCATCCTCACTGTGGACGCCATAGGTATGCTCCCAGGAGCAGCTGTGTTGGACCAGGACAGCCCTTGGTGGAGGGGGCAGGAGAGCAAGTGGGGACAGACACTGCTGGCACTGGGGGATCCTGCGTCCCATGATTGACCAGAGCCTGTGGTTGGTGTCACATCCTTGAGATTCTTCTGCCTGTACAGCTGTCTACCTCTGCACACAGTGCAAAGTCCTGAGGCCTGAGCAAGCCCTTTTTTTACAGGAGTCACCTTTCAGTGTGGCTAAGGAAGGAGACAGGAAAGAGGCCCCCGACATGACTTTTACTGGTTCAGGAGAGACTCTGGCTTTGTCTTTGGGCTTGAGTCTCCCACCATTGGGCCTCAGTCTCCAATTTCCAGGTTGGAGATGGGGTAACCACTTTCTGAGGTTGTCACCCAGTGGGAGCCTAGCTCTCCACGGGGACACAGCTGGATCCCCTGAGGCCAGAGACAGCAATTCCAGAAGCAGCCAGGTCCAAATGCACATTCATTGCCAATCTCTATCAGGCAGGCCCTGGGGAGACATCCAGGGAACCTCTGACCCAAGGAAAAGCTGCTCAGGCCAAACATGTGGCTCCCCTGCAATTCCAAAGAAGAAAGCCTGGGGCTGGGGTGCAGGAGAACCCTGCACAACAGGGATTAGTGGATGACAGGTGTCACATGGATCTGGGCCTGGACTGTATCTATGGCGATCTTTGGGTAGTGATTTGCCAAGGGTGTGACTGGGTAACTGTATGATGTCTGCTCAGCCGGCTCTCGGCACCCTAGGACCCTCCCACAGTGGCAGTTTCCCCAGTTATGCACAAGTCTTCCCCCACACAGAGAACCCCTGGAGTAAAGGTCTCCCCCATCTCTAGGGTGGAGGACCCTCAATGAACATGGCCAAACACAGTGAAGACACAAAACCCTGTTGGTCCACATTGTCCTCTTGGGTGAGTTCTTGGTGTTGGCAGTGACCATGAGGGGCCCAGCTGGGCTCTGCCAGCTCTCTGGACTCTACAGTCTCACAGACCAGCTACATCCCCAGAGGTCACTATTCCTGAGAGCCAGAGTTCGACCTGGGAACCCCTGCACTGTGTGTCCCTCGGCCAACCATCTCCTGGCCCCACTCCCGGTGGCTGGACTCCTGCAGTCCTCGGCCTTTAGTCTCGATGGGCAAAAAGCAGGAGGCCACAGCAGCCAGGAGGCAGCAACCACTGTAGACCGCCAGTGTCAGGTACACAGAAGATTCCAGCATCACCTGGAGAGGAAGATGCAGGTGGGTGAGAATAACCTCTTAGCCATAGGTGTGCCATGTGACAGACAGCATGCAAGCTGAGCACTTCATCCCCATTTCACAAAGGGGGAAGATAGGCTCAACAGGATAGGCAGCCAGGTATGGTGATGCACACCTGTAATACTCCTAGTACTTGGGAGGCTGTGAGGCAGGAGGACGGCCTTGAGTTTAAGGCCAGTGTGGGCTACAGAGTGAGACCCTATCTCAACAAACAAGCAAACAGCCTAAGTAACACATCAAGCATATATGGATAATGAGGATGGAGCTGAGATTTGTACTCTGGCCCATCAAGCTTAAGATTCCGTACATCTTCCTGGCATGGTGGACACCCACAGTCCCATCACTTAGGAGGTAGGGGCAGGAGGAGGATCATGAGTTCAAGGTTAGTCTCAGGTATATAGTGAGACCCTGTCTCAAAAACAAAACAAGACAAAACAAAAAACCACCAACAACAAACCAAAGAAATGAAAGCCTAGACTCCTTACTGTTCTCTGGTCTGTGCCAAACTCACAGCTCGATGACCTGAGTCAATCCATGGGGCAGAGCTTAGTCCTCTGTCCCCTGAGGAACCCGCATAGAATGAAAATATTCCAGAGACTCTTGTGCCCCTCCCTTTGGCTATCCAACTTGAAACAACACTCCCCCAGATATGGGAATGGAAACTTCCCCAGGAGTCTCATGCTGGGAGAAGGAAGAGGCTGAGCCCTGCTGCCAGCCAGGGAAGTTGTCTCCCAGAAAGATTTTAGGCAAACTGGAGTTGAGACAATGATGGGTCAGTGATTGGCAGGACCATGGCTTGACCAGGACTGGAAAACCTAAACTTCATGTTAAGACTTTGAAGATGGACTGGGGCAGGGGGTGGGGGGCGGGGAGAGCAGTGTTACTGGACCTCTTTATTTGTTTCTCTTCCCCATGTGGCCGTATTAAATAAATCTCAGTTTTTCATTATTCTTTGTCTCTTTTCATTGGTATATTGAGGACAGGAGCCAAGTCTAGCTTGTTAGGGGTGCCAGGGCCCAGGCTCTAACTCTTAATAACTCTAGTAACATTAGAAGTGACATATAGAGGCTAGAGAGATGTCTCAGCAGTTAAGAGTGCTTACTGTTCTTGCAGAGGACCTAGGTTCAGTTCCCAGCACCCATGTGGCAGCTCACAAACACCTGTAACTCCAGTTTCAGGGGATCTGATGCCCTCTTCTGACCTGTATGTACCTGGAGCATATACACACACTCAGGTGCACACACACACACATAAAATAAAATAAATATAGATGTCTGTTTTTAAAGAAGTGACATATAATGGGGGAAAATGTCAAATCAGGTGCCAAGATTCCAATGTTCTGAATGACGAGGAAAAGGCAAATCCCAAAGAGAGGGAGTAGACAGGTGGCTACTAAGGGCTTATGGGAAGGAAGAAGTGACAGCCTAACAGGCACAGGAGTTTGGGGGCAATGAGAATGTTTTGGAACTAGATAGAAGTGGGGGTACACAGCTTTATGAATGTGCTAATGCCACTGACGTATTTGTTAGAACCCAGACCCTCCAGGTGCTGCTGTGAAGAGCTTCACAGACTCGTCCCACTGCTCTGCAGTCTGTCTTCCTTCATAGCTACCAGCAAAGAGCTGACAGGCCAACCGCTGCAAGGAGCTTGCAGACCCTGTAGGCTTCTCCCCTCACACCTCTCACAGAGCTGAATCTCCACCTCCTCCTGTTGCCTGGGAATCAGAGGCAATCTGAGTGCAGGCGCATAGACCTCATATTAACCAAGCTTGCTTCCTTGCAGTCCAAGAACCCTGCCTCCCTCAGAAACCTTTTTTTTTTTTTTAAAATATTTTTTTATGTGTATGAGTATATTGCCTGCATATATGTAAGTGCACCTGTGTCGTGCAATGCCCGTGGAGGTCAGAAGAGTGCATGAGATCCCCTGGAACTGGAATTAGGGACAGTTGTTAGCCACCATATGGGTGCTGGGAATCAAACTCAGATCCTCTGCAAGAGCAGGCAGTGCTTTTAAATGCTGAGCCATCTCTCCAGACACAACATCCACTCAGCAACCTTTAAGAGTAGGGACCCAGCTTTGTCTGGTGAGACTGGCACCTCTTGCTGGAGATGACCACCATGCTGTGCTGCCTGTCTACCTGCAGAGTTAGGACTTTGAAGATGGACTTGGGTGCGAGGGGTGGTGTTACTGGACCTCTCCCCTGAAGTATTCAACTCAGAGCCCTTTGTCTAACCTAGCCCCTTGTCTTCTCTGTTTCCTGAAACCTAACATTGTTGTTTTTAAATTTTTTAATTACGTTTAGTTATTTACTTGTGTGGGGGGGCATGTGCAACATACATCTGCAGGAGTTGGTTCTCTCCATCCACCATGTGCTGGTTAGTTTTTTTCAACTTGACACAGCTAGAGTCACCTGGGAAGGGGGAACGTAGATTGAGGTATTGCTTTCATCAGATTGGCCTACTGGCCAATATGTAGGGGCATTTTCTCCATTGATGTAGGAGGGCCCACCCCACTGTGGGAAATTCCATCTGTAGGCAACTAGGCCTGGTTATATAAGAAAGGTAGCTGGACAAAAATTTTTTTTAAAAAAAGGGCTGGAGAGATGGCTCAACGGTTAAGAGCACTGATGCTTTTGCAGAGGACCTAGGTTCAGTTCCCAGCACCCACATGGCAGCTAACAACTGTCCTAACTCCAGTTCCAGGGATCTGATGCCCTCTTCTGACCTCCTCGGGCATTGCACAACACAGGTGCACTTACATGCATGCAGGCAATACACTCATATGCTCCTCCAAGGTCTCTGCTTCAGCTCCTGACTCCAGGTTCCTGTCTTAAGTTCCTGCCTGACTTCCCTTGATGTTGGATTATGGCCTGGGAGTTGTAAGTCAAATCAACCCTTTCCTCCCCAAGTTGCTTTTGGTCATGGTGTTTATCACAGTAATAGAAAGCAAACTATTGCTGACAGAAATTGGTGCCAGGAATGTTGGGTGTTGCTGTGATGGACCTGGCCATGTGTCTTTTATGACTTGGAGGGTTTTGGAGCTTTGAGCTGGAAAAGTCACTGAGTACTCAAAACTTAACAGGTTGTTTCTGTAGGAGGTTGGAAGATGTGCTGAGGGCAATGCAGACAATGGAGGCCTGGCTTGTAAAAGTTTGAGGAAGTTTAAGAGTCCCTCAAAGAATCAATTGGAGCTATTTGTGTATAAAAATCTGTGGTTTCTGGTTAGCTAATGAATCAGCCGTAATTAACAAGAGACCAACACCACTGAAATGAAAATTTGGCTTTACTGGGACAATTGATGCTGGTCAGCTGAGGCTGAAAAATCATCTGTGATTAAGAAGAGACCAGCATCACTGAGGTGAAATTTTCTGGGACGTATTTCCTCAGGGTCAGCACATAGAAGCTGTGGTCCAGAGGGGGCCAAGGTTGCATCTCAAGCTAGAACCCGAATTTGGCAGTGTGGAAGAGTCTCTCACATGGTACTGGTTTAAAGGCATGAAGGGGTGGGTCATGCAGAACAACGAAGGCATGGCACTGTGAGAGGCCAGGAGAGGCTATTGGTGAAGGTGCAGCCTCAGTTTCAATGGAGACTCCCAGCATATTTGAGATGCCAGAACCATGGGGCCATCACCAAGGACAGCAGCAGGTATGGAGTGGAGCTGGCCTGAGCCTAAGAGAAAAGCTGTGTTGTGTGTGCTGCAGATGGCAGATGTGGAGAAGCAGAACTTCTCTAACCCTTTGGAGCCCAGAAGATCAAGAGTGAGTCCCAGATGTCAGACACTGAGCTACACTGCTGGACTTTGATTTTGCTTAAGTGTGCCTAGATTTCCTTTTTTCTTTGTCTTTTTGAAGCAGGGTCTCCCTGTAGCCCCAGCTGTCCTGGAACTCACTATGTAGACCAGGATGGCCTTGAACTCACAGAGATCTGCCTGCCTCTGCCTCCCAAGGGCTGGGAAAGGTGTGTGCTACCATGCCTGGCTAGATTTCCCTTTTTTTAAAAAAATATTATTTTTAGTCTGTGTATATGAGTGTATTGCCTGCATGCATGTAAGTGCACCTGTGTCATGCAATGACTGCAGAGGGCAGAAGAGGGCATCAGATCACCTGAAACTGTAGTTATGGACAGTTTTTAGCTGCTATGTAGGTGCTGGGAATCGAACCCAGGTCTTCTGCAAGAGTAGCCAGTGTTCTTAATCACTAAGCCATCTTTCCAGCCCTAGATTTCCCTTTTGAAATAAGAAAGTACTTAACTTGTTTTTGATTTGATAGGAGCCCATGGTTAAGAGACTATATTTTAAAGAGACTTTGAACTTTTAAAATGTTTGAATTTTTTAAAGACTATGGGACTTTTAAAGTTGTACTGTATTTTATAGAGTGATGTTGACATGAGACTGTGGAAAGGAAAGGGTATGGTTTAATAGTGCTGTGCTTATGTGTCAAGTTGACAAGGGGTCAACCGTGCTGGTTGGTTTTTGTCACCTTGGCACAAACTAGAGACACTTGGGAAGAGAAAACCTCAATTGAGGAATTTCCTCCATCAGATTGGCCTGTGGGCATTTCTGTAGGGCATTTTCTTAATGCTAGAAATTAAGGGCCCATCCCACTGTGGACAGTACCATTCCTGGGCAAGTCGGCCTGGCTATATAAGAAAGACAGCTGAGCAAGCCATCATGGAAGATTGCCAGTTATTGGCTTTCTTATATCAGACAGCTGAGCAAGCCAATAAGAAGCAATCTTCCATGGTCTCTGCTTCAGTTCCTGCCTCCATGTTCCTGCCCTGCTTGAGTTCCTGCCTTGGCTTCTCTCACTGAAGGACATGTAAGTCAAAAAAACCCTTTCCTCCCTGAGCTGCTTTTGATTAGTGTTTTATTACAGCAACAGAGAATGTACAGATAGATCCTGGGGATTGAACCTAGGTCATCAAGCTTGGGGTTGTAGACACCTCTTAAATTTAATAATGTGACTTACTTCCTATAAAAAAAAAAAACAATGAAGGGGCTGGAGAGATGGCTCAGTGGTTAAGAGCACTGGCTGCTCTTACAGAGGACCTGGGTTTGATTCCCAGCACTCACATGGCAACTAACAACTGTCCATAACTCCAGTTCCAGGGGAATTTGATGCCCTCTTCTGACCTCCACAGGCATTGCATGACACAAGTGCACTTATATACATGCAGGTAATATACTCATACACACAAAATAAAAATAATAAATAAAAAAATTTTTTGGTCTTTTTGAGACAGGGTCTCCCTGTAGCTCCAGCTGTCCTGGAACTCACTATAAATATTTTTAAAAGCAATGAAAACAAAGAAGTTGTATATTTAAAAAGCTAAGAGACTTAGATTCCTAAATATGGAATGTTTCAAGGTACAAAGAGTTACAGACTCCCTCGAAGCATCCAATTTAGATAGGAAAGACTAAGGCATCTGTTTTCTATGGTGGCCTAATTATTTTCATGCATACTGGGTTCTGCTTCCTGTTGTTTGAGTCAGTACCCCACTGTTACCCTTACCTTGAATTCTGGGCTCAAGCTGTCCCCCCACCTCAGCTTCCAAGTAGCTGGGATCACAGGTGCTGCTGGGTAAGCTTCAGCACCCAGCTTATCTAAATTATTTTGGATTTGATTCCAGGCTTGTCTGTGTCCCAGGTGGATAGCCCTGGGCAACTCCCTTTATCCTTTTGAGCCTCTTCTACAAGCTATAGTTCTTGTCTCCTGAGATGAGTTGTTGAGAAATAATGCCTGAAGGCCTATACTTGCCACTGGCCACTCACCAGTCTCAGTATCTGGGGTGACACTTACCTGAGCAATGAATGGAGTAATTAGGGCACCCACTCTCGCCATGCCACTGCAGGTGCCCAGGCCCAGTGCCCGTGTCGCCGTGGGGTAGACCTGGAATGTCAGTATGTCAGCTGGATATAATGGGAAAAGTAGAAATCCGCCCACCTCTTTCCCCTCAGGATTGATGGGACCACTGCCCATGTGACAGAATGGGGGACCGGGGCAAAGGGGATGTTAGAGCAAAGAAGGTATGAAGTTCACCTGAGATGGGGGGCATGAGGTTAGCAAGAGCCCATTCACGTCGTTATTTTTCACTGCTGTAATGTATTCCACAATTGAATATTCTAGTTTACAATTCAATGATGATGTGTGTGTGGCAGGGGGTAGTTTAGTGATAGGGTGCAGCCCTGGCCAAAAAAAATACTATACAAAGAGTTCAGTAGGGGACAATGGACAATATTGGTGTGTTTATGAAGCATATATAATATGAAATATACATGCATAATTATACAACTATATGACACTGCCTAGCATATGACTGGCACTCTATATAAAATGAATAGTCTTAGTCTTAGTCTCCCTTATGGAGAATGTCAAGAAGGTTGAATGCCACAGTGACTTCTCTCCTACAGGCACTGTGACCTGGCTTTAGTTCAGTCACATGTACCCTCTTCCCCTCCAGAGCTCATGGAAGCAGAACTCAGGGGGGTATACAGCACCCCTACACACATCTGTACATACTGTTTTGAGGAGCTCTGTTATTTTTGGAAAGAGACTGTGGCCCTCTTGAATGCCTGTGTCTGGTGCAGCAGTCTGGGTTTGTTTTTTTTTTTTTGGTGACAGGGTCTCCTTGGAGCCCCAGCTGGCCTGGAACTCTGTGTGAAGACCAGGCTAACCTCGATCTCACAGAGATTCTCCTGCCTCTGCCTCTCAAGTGCTGGGACTAAAAATGTGCACAACCATACCCAGTTTAGTCTGGGTTTTTAATGACTGCACAGAGACCTACCATTTGAATAGGTCATCACTTATTTAACCACTTCTTTATGGTTACAAATAGCCAGCTGAATGAGGTTAAGCCAGGGTAAGAAAACTTTTACTCACCCCCCCGCCCCGCTTTTTTTTTTTCAGTGTGAGGGCTCAAATCCAAGGTCTTGTACAAGGTGGGAAAGTGCTTTACAACTGAGCTGTGTCCCCAGCTAGCAAACTTTTTCTTAAATGGTTGAAGAATAAATACCTAAGACTTTGTGTGCTATCTGGTCTGTGGATCTCAATTCTGCTAAAAAGATATCCAAAGACAATAACAGTGCAGGCACTCCTCACTTACATCCAGATAACTCCATTTTAATGTAAAAACATCATACATTGAAAATGTTTCATATACCTGCACTATGCAACATCACAGCATGGGTTCTTGGGTTCTACTGACTACATACCGTTTTTCCACCATTGTAAAGTTAAAATTTCATGTTATAAACCATCTGTATATGAAGGGGTATAGTGTGTTCCAATGGAATTTTATTGATGAATACTGAAAGTTGAATTTTATCTGTGCCCTTCTACTAAAATATCCTTCGTAAGTGTCTCCCTGAGAGCCTACAACAGCCCCCTCCTGCCAAATCAGTCTTGTTTTCCCTAATCCCCGTCTCACACCTGTTATTAAGCCCTTTGTAATGTCTTGACTTGACTAATGCATATATCACATATGTATGCTTAGAAAAAGAGCCGGAAAACACACACTGAGCCACTGGAGAAGACTGACTCCAGGAAGGGAGCATGTGGTCCCATCCCATTCATTTTTGTACACACAGAGGCAACCTTTGGAATTCTAACACTGAGCATAAAGCTGATGAATAGAAAAAAAAAGAATGATTACAAACAAGTTGAAGCAACGAGAGGTTGCAGTTGCCACTTAGATCCAAGGACAATTTATATTCTCAGCTGGATGGCAGACACTCCCCCACCCCAGCTGCTTCTAGGCACCTTCCCTACCTCAGGTGTGTAAACATAGGCTGCTTGGAAGCCTCCAGAAATAAACGCTCTTGCAATGAAGAGTAACAGAGTGAGCACATTTCTAGGGGGAGAAGAAAGCAGATGAGAGAGGGTTTTTTTTTGTTTGTTTCAGCAAAATCCTACCTTCCCAGGCAGAACTGACAAACTGGCAAAGGTCACCTCTGCCCGACACACATACACCCACACACGTCCTGGTGCTGCTCTAAGGGATTTATTCTTACAATTCATTGTTCTCCAGCATACCAGGCTGAGGTGGGAACATCTGTGATGTCCAATCTGGGAACATAATTGGGAAAAATGAGATAAATAATCAAGCCCATGGGTCTGGAGAGATGGCTCAGTAGTTAGGAGCACTGACTGCTCTTCTGGAGGACCCGGGTTCAGTTCCCAGCACCCACATGGCAGCTAACAGCTGTCTATAACTCCAGTTCCAAGGAATCCAATGCCCTCTTCTGGCCTCCATGGGCATTACATGTACACGATACACTTACATACATGCAGACAAAACACTCACATACATAAAATACAAATAAATAAAAGTTTAAAACATAAAACTGGGGCTAAGACTCAGTAGTAGAACACTTGCTTAGCATGTGTGAGGCCCTGGGTTCCAGAAGCACCAAAAATGAAACAGCAAAATAATATTCAGAAGTGGTTTTTTAGGGGTAGGAGTAAAGCCAGAGCCAGTGGAGCACTCCAAATCCCCAGCCCTCTGTTGCATTGTTCCTTTTTATATCCAAGAATACCAGCCCTTCACAGTCTAAGCTCCATCTCTTCCCAATGCTCTGTGGCCCACTGATTCTTCATTGGGTTTGGTCTGGTGACCCTCAGAGGTCACCTCTGTATTTAAAGGCTTTTGGGAATTAGAAAAACAGAGAAATGCACTTTCAATGGGGTCTGTTTGACACAGGGTCTATTTCCATCAAACAAATCAACACTTAAAAAATATTTTACGTCTGTGAGTGTTTTGCTTACATTATGTGAGCATGTGTAATGCCCACAGAGTTCAGAAGAGGGTGTTGGATACCTTGGAAATGGAGTTGCGAGCCGCCATGTGGGTGCTGGGAACTGAACCCAGGTCCTCTGCAAAAGCAAGTTTTCAAGCGTTCTTAACCACTGAGCTGGCTCTCTAGCCCCCAAATCAACACTTTTAACACAAAAATTTTATGGCTATACCTATGATCTTATTTGGAGTAGGTGTGGGAAGTCTAAACTTGATGGTCTTGGAGAAAGACTGGATGGACCCACATCATCTCCCTTCTGCTCCATCAGGGGCCTTGGTCTTAAGTCTGACCTTCTGGCTTTGTGTGAGATACCATGAGCCTTAGTCTGAGAAGGGGCTGGGGGGCCCCTGACACCCACCTTCCAACACAGATGAACAGCAGGAGGCTGCAGAAGGAGAAGATGAGGAAGCACAGAGCCATAGTCTTCTTTCGGCCCAGGCGGTCGATGATCCACAGAGTCACGAGGACACCTGCCAGGGGAGCAGGGACAGAAGTCAGTTTCTGAGGTAGTTCCCAGTGACCCACACTGTATCATCTTGTCCCCTTGTGTGTGGACCACACCTGTGACTCACTCCTAATGACCAGGCTGGACAGCAGCACCTAAACAGTGAGCCCTAGGTTCTAATGCCTAGAATCAGTTTGGGTTATAAAATAGCTTGACCTGATCTTGCCAGCATTCCCCTGCCCTACTCGTATGCATGGCTGGATGGAGAAGTTATCCAGGAAAGGTCCTGAAGACAGACTCTGGCTCAGGGAGAAACAAAGGCTCACAGTCCATTAACCCTAGAGGGATTGAACCTGCTAGTCACCATGTATCGGAATGCAGAAGCAGATGGTGCCCTAGCCTACTTTTAGATGAAATAAAAACCCAGGGCCAATAATACCTCCACTGCATCTGTGTGAGGTACAGTGAAGCAGAGGACCATGGGGAGCCATTCCCAGGCTCCTGATCCACTTACAGTAACCATAAGATGCATGTGTTGTATCAAGTCACTAAAGCTTGGGATGATTTGTTAAAAGGCACCAAGAAACTGGTACAGTCATCAGAAGTAACCTGAAGAGTGGCACTGCTAAACCCAGGCAGCAGAATGCCCAGGCTGGGACTCTCACCAACTAGGCTCTAAGGGTTCGTGTTGCTACCAACATGCTGTCATGCGGCCAGGGGCTGGTCCCTTGTCTTTTCTGAATTTCAATTTCTCTATCTATTAAATGGCACTAATAAAACAGCCCCTCCTACTTCCATAGAGGCTGGACAGCACAATGCTTTTAATTACATCATACATATTACTATAATTACTTGTAATCATAATTATATTTTGAGAAAGTAGTTATATATCTTATTTAATCATGAAATGAACCTTCTAAGAGTCGGCTGTTGGTAGCACATGCCTTTAATCCCAGCATTCAGGAGGCAGAGGCAAGTAGATCTCTGTGAGATGGAGTCCAGCCTGGTCTACATAGTGAGTTCCAGGCCAGTTGGGACTACAGGGAGATACTGTCTCCAAAAAGCAAAACAGAACAAAAACCTAAAAACAACAAAAAAAGAAACTTCTAAAATAAATGCTGGCGATAGTCTCATTTTCCACATTTATTTAATTATTGCCTATTGTGTACCAGGAACTATTATAGGATATTGGGATATGTTAGTGAACAAAATCAAATCACAGCAAAAACAACACAAAAAAAGAATCTGCCTTTCAGAAAGGTCCTAGAAATAGCGACTGGTGATGTTGAACTTAATTTCTGAGCCTTCCCTCTTCCTGAAGTTACGTGCGGAAGATGTTTTAGAAGAAAGCTAGCTGATCAGCCTTAGGTTGGAGCACAGTCCTTAGCTCTGAAGGCAGCAGGACACTGAGTGTCTTAAGCAGGTTTTTACAGTAGGCGGTGATACAAAGATGATTCAAGGCATTGATTGGAGAGATAACGTAAGCAAGTGTTAACTGGAAAAAAGGACGGGAAGGCAGCCAGCCAACAAGGGACAGATCAGGCAAGTTGCTGCTATGGGTAACGGGAACTGAACTACACTGGGGGGTTCAGGGAGTCAGTAGAGAACATGAAATTTAGGACTGTCCTGCTGGATAGGCAAGAGAGTAGAGGGGATTATATGCTGCCTCCTGCCACAGTGTTAGTGTTAGCTGCTCCCAGGAATTCGCTCTACCCACCCTCTCCCAACCATACTTGCTTTTACTTGTGGAGGGCCTCTGCTGAGATACAGCCCCTGGGCTCAGAGATTCTGACACAGTCAGGGGTAAGTGGAAGGTACGCTTTCTGCTTTGTGAGCAGGCAACATCATCTCTCCCAGCCTCATCTTTTTCTGTTATGAAATTTGAAAATGGAAGTTGCCTGGAGAAGCTACACTCACATTAAAGATCCTGCAGACTGCTTGGCCTTGACTGAGTAGAAGGTCACGATTGTGGAGAAATGGAAAGTTGTAGGTCGAGTCAAAATGGTCTCAGGACACCTTTAGTCCCTTTTAATAGCCATTTACTATTAACTCAGCAGCTGACCTGAAAGTCTCTTCTCTTTTCTTGACTTGGAATGCATTCCAAATTTGACATACCTCTAGCTCCACCAACCCCACGAACACAGTAAAGACAGCATCCAAACTCCATAGCTCTCTCCACCACTATGCATGACTTTACCCTCGGATTTTGTGAACACATCCATTCTTTTCTGTAACTGGAAAAGCATGAAGCTTTTCCCAGGCGAAGCAGTCATTCAGAGAAACTTGAATCTGTATTTCCCAGACCATGCTCACTCATATTGACTCAGAACAAACTGCTCTCTCATTTCCTTACATCAGAGCTGGTCTTTGGGACTGATCACACTACTGCAGGGGATGGAATTAAAGCATGTGTCAAGTATCCCACAGTTCCCCCTGCACAGAGTACGCATTCAGCGGCATTCTTAGCCAGCATTTTTACTGTTATGATCATTATTCCTTTAAGAGGGGAAAAAGAGGGGATAAGGAGATGTCTCCATGAGTAAGGTGCTTCCTGTGCAAGCATGAGGACCCAGGACCCATGAAAAAGCCAGACATGGCCGCCCACACCTGTAACTCCAGTACTGGGTGTGGGTCAGAGACTGGAGGATTCCAGGGGCTTTCTGGCCTGTCTAGCTGAATCAGTGAGTTGCCCTGTCTCAAAAAAGTAAGGTGGAGAGCAATACAGGAAGAGCCCTGATGTTGACTCTGGCTTCCACACCCCCATAAATAGACAAGTACACCCCTCACACAGGTACACACACACACACACACACACACACACACACACACACACACACACACACCACATATACACACAGAAAGGAGGAAGGAAGGGAGGAAGGGAGGAAGGAAGGAAGGAAGGAAGGAAGGAAGGGAGGGAGGGAGGGAGGGAGGGAAGGAAGATCACCTTTGCATCATGTAATTTGGAAGAAGTTTCATGTCCACCCCTCTTGATCCTTTCCAGTGCATCTCCTGGTGGACAATGATCCTCCAGGGGTCTCATATCTCAGAGCATCTTGAGAGCAAAGCCCAAGCTGCTCTTTTGCTCCAGATTATCATTTCGAGATAATTTATACAACAAACAGCCTTAGAAAATAAGGATACTATCTTCCTCTGAAGCAAAGGGCAAGTATGAGCAATGTTCTTTGTTTTTCAAAATTGTTCTGATTTTTTAATTTTTATTTTATATGTATGAGTGTTTTGCCTGCATGTAAGTGCACCCACGTCACACAATGCCCATGAAGGCCAGAAGAGGGTGTCGGGACCCCTGGGAACTGGAGTTGTAGTTAGCCATCATGTAGATGCTGAGAACCGAACCTAGGTCCTCTGCAAGAGCAGCCAGAGCTCTTAACTGCTGAGCCAGCTCTCCAGCCCTCTTTACTGAACAATGTAATAAGGGTGAGGTCTCCCCTTGAGGCAAAGGTCGGTCATGTATCTGGCAGCCCATTATAAAACTTGTGTTTCCTAAGCTTGTGGTTCTCTAGTGCTGTGATTGGACATGGTTTTGAGTATGTCCAAGCAAAGGTTCATGTGTCAGGAGCTTGGTCTTCAGTGTAGAGAGAAGAGGTAATGGGAGGTGGTCACTGGCCTGTCCCAGACTCTGGCTTCCTCTCTTGCTGTATAAGCCCTCCTCTCATGGGCTCTTGCCATTGCCCTACCATCCACCAGAGGTTGGGGTCAGAGCCACATCTACCATGCCCTTTGGCTCCAGAACTGTACACTAAATAAACTTTTTTTTTTTTTTAGTCTTTTTTGACACAGTGTCAACAGGGTGTCCCTATAGCCCCAGCTGACCTGGAACACACTCAGTAGACCAGGCTGGCCTTGAATTCACAGAGATCCGCCTGCCTCAGTCTCCCTAGTGCTGGGACTAAAGGTGTGCGACACCACGCCAGGCCTTTCTTTATAAAGTACATAGCCTTGGGGCTGGAGAGATAGTTAATCTGTTAAGAGCACTAGCTGCTCTTGCCAAGGAACTGGGTCTAGTTCCTAGTACCCACATGGTGGCTAACAACTATAACTCTAGTTCCAGGGGCTTGATGCCCTCTTCTAGCCTCCATGGGCATTGTATTCATGGGTGTACTTACATGCATGCAGGCAAAACATCACATAAAATAAAAATAAATAAAAATTTAAAGGACACACTCTCAGGTATTTAATTATAACAGAAAATGGAGTCGCACACTCAGCTGTGCTGCAAATCTTCCCCTATGTGGCATCCATCGGGCTCTTCATCATCCACGGGACTGGGGCACTCATCTTGACTCTTACCTGGAGTCCTGTGTCATTTGCTGGCATGCTTGAAGCTAGGCAGCCTAACTTGTTAGTTTTCAAGTAAAGTCAGAAACCTGACCTTTCCTAGTTCTTTGTAATTGCTAGCAAAGGGTCGGGGGAAAAAAATCCCTGGGATTTGCTTTTGGGTGGCACCTGTAAATCCTGAACAGATGGCATGTCCTCAGGCTCTTGTGCCCCAGCTCACCTGGGAATTCCGAGAGGGTGGTCCAGAGCAGGTCCATGTAATCCTCCTCACTCAAGTACTCACAGGCCAAGCTGCATTTTGCCTCCACTGCCTTCTTCCTGTTGGAGACTAGGGGCAAGAGAGAGGTGCAGGGATAGTCACACAGTCTTGAATCCAGCTTCTCCCTGCTTCCCACCAGGTGTCTGGCAGTCTATTATAGTAAAGGATTCCAGTCTCCTAAGCTTGGGGTTTCTCAGTGCTCTGGTTTGGATCTGAGGCACCATAAAAAGAGCCCAGGAGACAGACAGGCTCAGGGGTGAACCCCAAGCAACAGAGCTCCAGTTGAATCTCTCTGCATCCCTATTCTGCACATTAATGAATTTTTATACCTTTTCTTCTGTTTTGACGAGGCTGGATAGGCTTGGGGAGATGAGGGGGCAGAGAAGCAGACTGCTTAGTGACTAAAGGCTGATGCACTCCTAGAGCTTATTGCAGCCAGGCCGCAATCCAAATGGGTAGGACCAACATGACCCACTGAGACCCCTGCTGTCTTCTGTTTTATGATGTCACCCTGTATCATTGGCTCCACAAAACTGCCTGTTCCCATCACCCTATAACATGTCCAGAAAACCCCACAGGACAGAAAGGGAAGAAAACCCTAATCCAGGGAAAAGCCTACCCCAATCCTATAATACCTGACTTTTCTCCTCCCCCACCTTAACTCCAGAATAATCCTTCCCTCCATTAAAGTTTGTCCATAACATGAGCTATCCAAAGCCCACCAGTGTGGATGCAACACACACACACTCTGTCTTTGGAAGCCCATACCCACCCTGAGTATATACCATTGTCCTAATGTTAACAAACCTGAACTCTCACATCATACCGAGTCACCCTGAAAATCTTTGCTGCAGTGAAAATCAAGATCCAGGCTTCACCAGGGTAGAGGTCTCTGAAAAGAACTTTGGCAGCTGCAATTCACAATAGTTGGCTACAAGTGTTTCCAACTGCCAGTGATAATTTAACTTTTTCCAATTTACTCCAGTAAATCTTCATAGAGGTAGAGGGGACATTCCCTTGCCCCCTATAATAGATACAAAGAAGTATGTCTTCATTTATATCCTACACAGGTTCCTCTCCTGCACACTACAGAGTTATGTAGTCTATAAAGCTAGAAATATTTATCATCTGGCTCTTTATAGAAAAAGCTGGCTAACCTCTGCTACTTGACAGGGCAGTGGGTCCTTTGCTTAGCAAAACGGCTGCCTCGTCTATTCAGTCAGCACTAAAACCCACAACCAGATTTGCGGCTGTGGCTCTTCCACAGAACTTAGCCATTGGCCAGTGTCCTGTGACATGGGATGCCACCATCTCTTCAAATTCTTTTTTTAATGCTATTTTAAAAATGTTTTATTTATTATTATTATGTGTATGCGTGTATTGCCTGCATGTAGGTAAGCGCACCCATGTCGTGCAATGCCCATGGAGAACAGAAGAGGCTGTTGGATCCCCTGGAACTGGAGTTATGGATAGTTGTTAGCTGCCATGTGGGTGCTGGGATTCGAACCCGGGTCTTCTGCAAGAACAACCAGTGTTCTTAACTGCTGAGCCATCTCTCCAGCCCCTTCAAATTCTTTTATCAACCAGTAAAACATCTATCATCTATCATCTATCTATCTATCTATCTATCTATCTATCTATATCATCTATCTCTCTATCATCTATCTATCATCTATCTACCTATCTATCTATCTATCTATCATCTATCTATCTATCTATCTATCTATATCTATCATCTATCTATCTATCTATCCATCCATCAGTCATCAATCTATCATCTATCCATGCATGCTAGATGGATTGAACCGAAGGCCTCGCACATGCTAAGTGCATGCTTTAGCATTAGGTTCCCTCTCTAGCACCCAATAGGTAAAATTAATATCCAAAACATTTTACATTTTATTTTTTTAATTTATTTTTTAATTTTATGTGTATGAGTGTATTGCCTGCATATGTGTAAGTGCACCCATGTTGTGCAATGCCTGCAGAGGTTAGAAGAGGGTGTCAGATCCCCTGGGAACTGGAGTTACAGATTGGTTGTTAGCTGCCAGGTGCTGTTAAGCGCTGAGCCATCTCTGTAGTCCAGCATCCAAGATTTTGAGGCTTTATATGTAAAAGAGAACGGGGCAAACCTGGTGAATGTGATAACTTTATCCTCCACCCTGAATTCAATGTTAGAATTCCAGCATTATTGTCAAAGCATAAGGTCCAAAAGGCCAGGTATCATATAGACCTTTTTATTTCTTCCATTTGTCCTGTGAGTCCTGCTTCACAATATAATCACCTGGGAAGCTTTTAAACTTCACTAAGGCGTGGGCCTCGCCCATGCTGAGTAAACTGGTCCTGGTATGGTTCAAATGGCCCTGGCATGTTTCAAAGTCCCCCTCCCAGGGGTATGATTCTGTGGTAGAGTGCTTGTCTGGCATGCAGGAGGTCTGGGTTCCATCCCTGATGGGAAATTCTCTTGTGTGGAGGGGTGTGGGATTGGGAGTTGGAGAATGAAGGGATGCGGGGGGGAGTGGAGGGGTCAAGTTCTGGCTCTGGCTCCAGATTGTTCTCAAAGGTAACTGTGCACATTAGCAGCTGCTTAAGATTCTATCCACAAAAGTGGGAACCTTGCTTCCTTCAGAGGGGCTTTTGGGAGATTTGGAAATCATTTTAAGCTGTGTGCAGTCCTCACTTAAAGTACCGTTAGGCCAAAATGAATTGGGAGGCCAGAAGGCTGAGGTAGCCCCATACTTAGGGCTCCTCTATAAGCAAAATGTAAACTGCTCTGAGTTGATGAACTAACTGGAAACCATAGCTCCCCTCCAAAGGGGGCTCCCGGACCCTCCGCTTCAAGCCTTGTCATGCTTGTGTGTGAACCTGGTACACAGGTTCCCAGGAAGTCATTGCTCTGGTCTGTGTTTCTGCCCTGGGTTCTGCAGGCCAGAACATACCAAAATGGAGCCCCTTGGGCTAAGTGACAGAATTGAACCCAGAGATTTATGGCAACCAATGAGAAGGGACCTAACCTGTCCCCACTATGGGACCAGCAGCACCCCTCGGTAAGGAAAACAACATTTTTGTTTTGTTTTGTGCTTTGTTTTGTTTTGTTTTGTTTTGTTTTGTTTGAGAGAAGGTCTCCCTATGGTTCCAGCTGACCTGGAACTCAATATGTAGAACAGGCTGGCCTTGATCTCACAGAGATCCACCTGCTTCTGCCTCCCGAGTACTGGGATTAAAGGCATATGCAGCAAGGAAAAGAACTTTGAAAGGACACACATACTTTTCTCCCTGTCCTGCTTTTCCCATCCCTGTTCTACCTGTTCAACAGTGCTCACCGTCTGTTGATACTCATTAGCACATTAATTCGGTTTTTTAGAATAAGGTTTTCTCCGATTCTACAATTGTTTATAAAAGCCCACTAGAGAGTTAGGCATGGTGGCACATGTCTGTAAACCCCAACACTCAGAAGGCTTAGGCAGGAGGATCATGAGTTTGAGGTCAGCCTGGGCTATGAGACTTTACCACAAAAAAAAAAATAGTTTATTTTAATTTTATTTATTTGTTGTGGTGGTGGGGGTTAAACCCAGGGTCTCACATGTACTAAGCAGGGGTGTCCCTCCCTTTTCCTCTGTGAATATGTTGTCCTTGGGTTTGGGGGCATTAATGAAGGTTCCCTTTGTAGCCCTTCAGTGGATCTCAAACCTGTAGTCTGGCACTGCCTGGTTCATAGATTGCTGTTGCATGTGAACAGCTCAAGGTTGACCAGTAATGCTTAAGTTTACCAGTAAACAATGCTCCAACTTAAGGTGGGACTGGGCACATACCAACTCTGTTATCACAAGGTTGCCCAGAGCCTTAGAAACCATGGAATATATGCCTAGCTACTGACAGCAGCACCTGTTGTAGGGGTGGGTGACTGTGTCCAGTGGGTGACTGTGCCCAGTGGGTGAAGGTGGAGGTCTGATACTCACTGCCACAGATGTCGCCTGCCTGGAAGAGCTCGGTGGTGAGCAGAACTAGGCCGTAGTAAGAGAAGGCGTTGGAAAACCTGCCAGGCGGAAACAAAGATGGAGAAGAGACATCAGAGAAACACAAATCCCCTCCTGGCCCTGGGTCTACTCCCACACCAGGCTAAGCATCACACTGGGTCTTGGGAGGGGGTGGATTTCGCTGGAGACCCTGGGCAGGAAAAGGGCAGGTTCAAAGTATCATGATGGGTAAAGGGAAGTGGTTCTGTGTCCTTGGAAAGACCAAGATGGACAGTGTGACATCAGAGACACCCCTGCCCCCAAGGCTGCTTGGCAATTGGAAATGGAGAGAAAGTTTTCTGGGGACCAAAATTTGGAAGGAAATATTTGCAGTAATGTTTGCCAAGGCTTCTGGGCCAACATGAGGGAGACCCTGGACATGATTTTTAAATTTTACAGTACAATGACTCCATTGACCTTAGAATCAGAATTCTGGAGTGCACAAGACCAGAAAATTCTCACCCAGGAAAAGAGTTGTGTGGGGACTCAGGCAGATCAGAAATTGAAGGTGAATATCCTGGGTCACAGTGTGAGAGCAAGCAGGGACTTCTACAGTTCAGCTGGTCTGGCTGATGTGCACAACTTGTTTGACTGGTTAAAATGTCTGTTTCCTTCACTATCTGTGTTTGTTTCTCTTTTGGGTTTTTGTTTTTGGGCTTTTGGTTTTTTGAAATAGGGTCTCCCTGTAGCCCCAGCTAGCCCGGAACTTTCTATGTAGACCAGAATGGCCTCCATCTCATAGAGATTTGCTCTCAAGTGCTGAGATTAAAGGCGTGCTCATAATCTCTTTAAAAAATATTTTTTAAAATTTATTTTATTTTTATGTTTGAGAATATTGCCTGCATGTATGTAAATGTAATGCCCATGAAGGTCAGAAGAGGGCATTGGATACCCTGGAACTAGAGTTATGGACAGTTGTTAGCTGCCTTGTGGGTGCTGGGAATCAAACCCAGGTCTTCTACAAGAACAGCTAGTGCTCTTAACTGCTGAGCTATCTCTCCAGCCCCCACTCATAGCCTCTTAATAACCATTTATTGCCCACCTTCCAAATCTGACCCAACATTCTTTCAACTGGCAAGCAAAACCTTTGGAATGTATTAACTTAGCAGACTGTGTGAACAACCACCAAAAAAAGCTAAGCATGTCATTGGCTAGCACCTCACGCCTGTAGCAGAGTTTGCCTGTTTTGTTCCCTGATGTGCCCCCCTCCCCCAATATACTTGGTTAATGTCTTGGTTTATGACTTTCTTTTGTTCTGTGACTATAAAAGTTCATGTAAGAACACCCACCTAGCAATGTGTCATTTGGGACAACTTGAACTTGTGTTCCTGGGCCGTGGTCACTTATATTTGATTCAGAATAAATCTTATTTCCTTTGAGGTAAGAATTGTATTTTGTGTCAACAGCATTACACTTAAGCTCTCACAAATCGCTTTTGGATTTGAATAACACTGACTCAAGTGAATTGCAAATTCTTTTAAAATTTTTCTTATTTATTTTCTGGATTACAGATTTTTAAGGGTAGTATTTTCAACTCTGTCCAACTCCCTTTCTAAAAATCCTACAGACTCCACATTTGTACTGGGCACCCAGTAGGTGTTTAATAAATGCTTGGTGTGCAGATTCAGCTCCTGGGAATGTGAAGGCAGAGCCATGCTCTGTATGTTAACAAAGCTGTTCTTCCCTCTTTCCTGTAATTGACCATGCTGGGGACACTCCTTATAATTAGTACCTCTACTCAAAGGCAGAATAGGAAGCTTGAAAAACAGGTTAGAAACAGAAGAAAAACTCTCAGCTACCCCCGAGTTGCACCCTGGTGAGGCAGGCACACAACTTGGTGGAAAGAGAAAGGATGGCTGAAATTGGATTCATGTGAGGATGAAGAAAATTACTCTCTTCATCTGCCTCCCTTCCAGTCCCCTCCCACGTCTGTTGTTTAACAAAAATTAAACAGAGTGGGAACTGGGAGTTTCAAGAATGGCCATGTTGACCACATCCTGGTTTTCAAATGATCGGCTGTGTGCCACTGGTGGTTTCCAAGGTAACAGATACAGAGAGGAAGGCCCTAGCACAGCATGAATATTGACCTTACTGTACAAAGGTTCCCTTTGAAGTTTCCTTTTGATTCTTTTGGCTTTATCACAGTTTCATTTATGCTCTGTTGGCCCCTTAACACCTGCCCTCACCCCCAGATGCAGTTTCTCTTAAATACACAGGCTCACTCTCTCAGCAAACCAACAAGTTACTTTTTACTGTGTTTTCCTTTTTAAAAATTTTATTTATTACTTTCGTTTTATGTGTATGAGTATATTGCGTGCATGTGTGTAAGTGCACCTGTGTCATGCAGTGACATGGAGGTCAGAAGAGGGCATAGGAGTCCCCTGGAACTGGAGTCACAGATGGTTATTAGCCATCATATGGATGCTGGGAATCGAACCCAGGTCCTCTGCAAGAGCAGCCAGTGCTTTTAACCACTGAGCCATCTCTCCGGTCCCTTACTGTGTTTTCCTTTAAGAACGCCTCCAATGCAATTAAAATGTCTTGGGGAAAAACAGAACTATAAAATTTCCTTTTAAGAGCTACTTATCTGAGTAAACCTTGTGTCAATCTGAAGAAAACAGGAGATGATTAGCAGAGGTGGTACCTGGACACCACCAGGATCAGGAGGTAGTATTCAAACCAGCGTGCAAGTGCTACCCAAATGCAAGGGGCTCCCTGACTCTGCATTAAACCAAGTCCTGTGCTGTGGAGATGCCAAGCAAGTGTGAAGATGGAAGTTTGGATCCCCAGAACCCATGTGCAAACCAGGTGGGCATGGTGGCCCATTTCTAATCCCAAACAATGAAAGGTCGAGATGGGATCCCTGGAGCAAGCTGGCTAGCCAGACTAGCTGACTCTTAAGGCTGTGGGTAAAAGTGAGAGACTCTGCCTCAATATATAAGATGGAGAGCCATGAAGGAAGATACCCAGTGTCAAACTCTGATCTCCACATGCATACACATGTATATACACATGTGCAAACATACATACACACAAAAACACCAGACACATACACATGCACAATCAATCTGCCAACCAATCAATCAATCAATCAATCAATCAATCAATCAATCACAAGTTGTGACGGTGTGTGGTTGGAGGGGCCCACAGTAGCACCAGTAGCTCTTACCATATAAACCACAGCAAGAGAGTCGTCCAGCGAAAGTGGGGTGTGAAAAGGTCCCTCATCTTGCCTCGGTCTTCCTGTTTCAAGACAAGGACGCTCAGTTTACTGTCTCTCTTCCCGGTGCATGTGGGCCTTGGCTGGGCCCTGCTACCTACCTGTCCACACAGCCTGCTAGGGATGTATCCGGTGGGCAGGGGACTAATGCTTGGAGAAGCCAGTACTTGTCTCCAAGCCCTGTAGAAGTGACGCTGAAAAGTCAGGGCCTTGATCCCTATAAACCGGAGCTACCCCATGCTCTCTGAGCTGGAGCTCCTGAGATGGGAAGCGGCCCCCTGATGTGGGCAACCCTCAGGCCTCTGGATCCATCCCAAAACAAGGGATGTGAAAGTATTCCACATGCACACAAGCCAGCTCTGGGTCAGGGTGACAGCAGTTTATGTGCCAAGAGCTAGCTAACCAAACACAGTCCAATTCACCAAGAGGTCGATTAGCCAAAAGATCTGACTCAATTCCACAAAAATTTGAAGAATTTGTCAATATCACTGAATTTTTAAATCTTTGCTTTACAATGTTCTTATGAGAAAATTTAGCTGCAGGGCCAGCAAGGTGGCTCAGAGGGTAAAAGAGCCTGCTGTCAAGACTAATGACCTGAGTTTGATCTCTAGGACCCACTCGGTGGAAAGAGAACTGACTCACAAATTGTTCTTTGACCTCCACATACATGCCTCCCACCATGCACATACTAAATAGATTTATTTTAATTTTTCATTTTTAATCTTTATTTTATGTGTAAGAGTGTATTGCCTGAATGTTTGTGAGTGCACCCATGTTGTACAATGCCTCAGAGGTCAGAAGAGGGCATTGGATTCCCTGGAACTGGAGTTATAGACAGTATAGCTGCCATGTGAGTGCTAGGAATTGAACCCGGGTCCTCTGCAAGAGCAGTCAGTGCTCTTAACCACTGAGCCAACTCTCCAGCCCCTAAATAGATTTTTAATGTAATAAAAACTATTGGAGTTGGGCATGGTGGTACATGGCTATAACCCCATCACTTAGATTTGCAGAAGCAGAGGGATTAAGGGTTCAAGGCCAGGCTCACTCAGCAACATAGGAAGTTTGAGGCCAGCCTGGGCTACAAGAGACTTGTTTGAAAAACCAAAACAAAGTACTTATATGTACACACACACACACACGAGAGAGAGAGAGAGAGAGAGAGAGAGAGAGAGAGAGAGAGAGAGGAATGTGATTATATTCTCAAACATTATTTTATTTTGAGATCAGATTTGATGTAGCTCAGGCTGACCTTGAATTCAATGTGTAGCATATGATGACCTTGAACTTCTGATCTTCCTGCCTCCACTTCCCAACTGCTGGGGTTATAGGCATGTGCCACCCTACTTGGTTTATGAAGTGTTAAGGATGGAACCCAGGGCTTCATGCATGGTAGACAAGCACTCTACCAACTGAGCTGCATTCTGAGCAAATCTCAAACATATTTAATAGACATGTTTTCCTCATATCAGGTTGAAAAATTCTATTTAAGCATTCTAAATGGAAAAAAAAACTAAGGGTCTTCACAAATAAGAAAATCTTTGTAATGTATTACTGAATGAGAAGATGTTAATTAACATGCTTATTGACTGTCACAGAGGTTTGTATTTGTTGAACACAGTCGAGACAGTCTTTATTTGTTGAATATATTTTGGAAGAGATTCATCGATATGTATAAGAATAGATTTGTTGATATATTTATAAAACAATATACTGACAAAAATATGTAGTAATGGATACAGTATAATGTATTCCTATTTACTAAATATATTTTAGAAAAAATAGGCTGGGCATGGTGCCACCCACCTTTAATCCCAGCACTTGGGAGGCAGAGGCAGGCAGATCTCTGTGAGTTCGAGGCCAGCCTGGTCTACATGGCAAGTTCTAGGCTTCATAATAAGACCCTATCTCAAAAACCAAAAACAAATAAACAACAAAAACCCACCTTAAGTAAGTTTTGGAGGTCAGACAAGTTGGCTCAGTAGTGAGAGCACCTGTTGTACAAGTCTGGAACTTGAGTTTGCCTTCCGCTGACCTCCACATGTGAACCACAGCATGCCCCACATAATAATAATTAAAAATTTTTAAATAAAAATTTTTAAAGTTTTGGATAATTATACAGTTGTACATCATTTATGTATGTGGGCACATGCATGTGTGCACCAAAGGCCTGCATGTGGAGGTCAGAGGGACAACCCAAGGGTGTCGGTTCTCTCCTTTTTTCCATATAGGTCCCTGGGACTGAACTCAGATCATCAGGCTTCGTGGCACTGTCCTTTACCCTGATGATCAGAGTTCAGTCTGCTTGGGTGATTCTTGAGGGGAGGGACAGTTCTGCACCCTGACATCTGTGTCTCTTCTTCCTATACACAGAGTGTGAGGGCTGATGAAGACTCCTTGTGGTGTTAACCTGGTATTAATGAAGAGTGATGCATCATCTGTTAAGGACATCTACACAGGAGCACAGTTTGAGCCTTTAGATCTGAAGTCCTCCCTCCCTCCCTCTCTGCCCCTCCCTCTCTCTGTCCTCCCTCCCTCCTTTTTTTTTTTTTTTTTTTTTTTTTGTACTGGGTATTGAACCCTGGGCATTGGGCACACTAAGCATGCACCCTAGCTCTACCACTGAGTTCTACCCTCAATCACAAAGAAGTTCACTTTCTAATGTGGTTTTATTGCAAACTGCTGCCTGTCAATCACATTTGCTAATCTGATGTGATCAGTGCTGAAAAGCAAAATGAAAGCAGAAGTAGTTCCAGGACTCATGTCGTTAGCAGGCACACTTCCCTAATCACTGGCCAGATTCTCCAGTAGTAGTTTCAGAACGTGGCAGTGAAAATGCAGATGGGATTACCAGACTCCCTTTACAGACCCTGCGCCTGTACACCACTCCTGGTGTGTAGACACATGCACAAGCACATACTCAAGACCACCTTGGATATCTGCACACACACACACACACACACACACACACACACACACACACAGGTGCATGCCCTCCAGTGAAAACACTTCCTTGCATGTACACAGACACACAGGTCCAGACACTGACCTGCCTGGAGATGATGAGTTTTCCCAGAGGCATGGGGGCTCCATTTTCAGTCGCTATCCGCTTTAAAGTGGCGATTGCTTTTTCCTGGTTTCCAGACAGCACATCGTACCTAGCGCTCTCTGGCAGCCACTGTGGGGACAGGAGACCCAGGTGTGTCTGGTTAAAGTGGAACAGAGCCTCCCACTCTCCCAGCCATGTACTCTCCTCTGTACATGGGGTCTTTGAGGTAGTTAGGGCTCTGAAGTCAGAGATCTGGTTTCAAATGCTCCCTCTGCTGTCTCATGCTTATGTGACTCTTCAGTGATGTTACCTCCCAGTGCCTCTGTTTCCTCACCTGTACAATGGGGGAAACACTAGATCTGACCTCTTAGCACTGGTTGTTTGGAGGCATGGGTTCATGTAGTTGCTATTACTGCCACAGTTGCTATTGCAACTGGTGTTGCTTCCAGAGCTCAGGTGAGTGGTGCAGTAAACCAAGACCACCACCAAAGTCACCCTTAACTCTCGAGAAACTCTTACTGTGCTTAGCATCATCTTGCAAACTAAACCATATATATATATATATATATATATATATATATATATGGTTCAGTTTATATATCAGAGAGAGAGAGAGAGAGAGAGAGAGAGAGAGAGATCAGAAAGTTTTAGGTCTAATAGGAGTCCCAATTCCAAGGGTTTAGATCAACACATTTCTGCCAAATGAAATAGTGAATTGTGAAACAACAGATACAGTACAGAAAGTGTGAGAGTGGGAGTCAAAGGCTCAGCTCAAATAGTTCCACTGTTTGCTGAGGCTGTTTGAAGAGCCAGCCTCTCTAGACTTCAGTTTCTTCATGAGTAGAATGGGGGCATAGAAGAGATTGATAATGTACTCCAAAATTCATACCATATTGTGGCATTGTTTGTAAACATGGATGCCCAGCTATGAACTACATTTCCCACCTTCCCTTGCAGCTAGGTAAGAACACATGACTTGCAATCACCAATGAGTATGTGAGCAGACATCAAACAAGCAAGTGTTTGAGTCTCCACTTTCCTTTCCCCTGACTCCAAGGTCCTGGAGGGTGACAGAACCACATACTGGAAAAAACAAAAAACAAACAAAAAAACCTGGGCTGAGATCCTACATTCTATCCAGAATGCTCTTTCTGAACTGTTCTGTTTCTGAGATGCAAACTCTTCCTGTATTAAGCTATTGAGTTGGTGAACTTTGTCATAAGAACTGGTGTCACCCTAACTACCATGGGCTTCCTTACAATCCTACCCCACATGGTTATGTGGTAAGTGCATGGAAAAAGCCTAGCACGGAGCCTCCCTCACAGTTAAGCACAGTGATTTCTTCATGTGTGTGCATAGACATGTTCACATATGTGCAATGCATGCGTGTGCATGCGTTTGTGGAGGTCAGAGGACAAACTTGGGTGTCATCCTGAGGAACGCCATTCACCTCCTTTGAGACAGGGTCTCTCACTGGCCTGGAGCTTGCTAGTTAGTCTAGACTAGCTGGTACTGAACCCCAGGGATCCTCCAGTCTCCAGTGCCCAGTGCTGGGATTACAAGCATGCACCACCATGTCCAGCTTATGCTCAATCATGATTTATACCTGTTGTTACCAGGAATTGGTGTAGTATTTGCCACATACCAGTTGAACCCAAGGCACCTAAGGCTTACTTGGGGTGCCACTGTCTGTAAAATGTCTCATGTATGTGTTCTATACATGAAACAGAGTGGTAGCATGTTCTCATTCCAGGGTGAGAGATGGAGAGACCATTTGAGTTCCTAGATCCAGTCATGCCTGAAGCTGGTATCAAATCCTCTATCTTATCTAGTCCTGTTTCACTAAAGCCAATTTGAATTAGGTTTCTGTCTCCTGAAAGTTAAGAATTCCAATGAATCTAGTAGTCACTTTAAGCATAGATCTTACAATGATGGGGCCACTTCCCAGTTCTCCTTAGAGAATATCTCAGAAGAATTTGCATGCAGGAACTCTAACTTTCCATTCTGAGGCAATCGCAGGCCTCATTTCCTGTCTCGTTTTCCAATTTGAAAAAACAATAAACTTAGGAGATAGTGTAGTGTTGGCTTCCATTCACTTCCTGGTAAAATATAGCCTAGAGATGACAGGAAAGGGGGTGGCTTTAAAGATACCCACGAAACACAGAACAGCGAAGAGCAGCAGTGGGACGGCCGAGAGGATGAGCAGCCAGCGCCAGCCCAGGCTGGGCATCACAAACACAGCCAGGAGGACCTCGAACACCGTCCCGATGGCCCAGAACACCTGGCACAGGAGAGTCAGAGTCAGCAGCGGGCAGTATGGTCCACACAATGAGAAATTGTGGGGTCACTGAGGCCAAAGGTACAGATCAGTGTGGGTCAGCAAGGTCAGAGTGGTGCCCCCTTCTTTCCATGTGGCCCATTCTGCTGCCCATCTGCTGGAGCTACATAATGCAATATGGCATCTGTGCTAAAGGAGGCAGATGTTGTCAGATAGTGTAGATCAAGGGGCTTTGGCGGCTGTGGTAAAGGAGGCAGATGTTGTGTGATAGTGTAGATCAAGGGGCTTTGGTGGCTGTGGTAAAGGAGGCAGATGTTGTGTGATAGTGTAGATCAAGGGGCTTCATTTTTGTTTAATTTCCCAATTTAAAAAAATATTTTTATTTTATGTGTTTGTCTGCTTGTATGTAAGTGAACATGCATGCAATGCCCACAGAGTCCAGAAGAGGGTATTAGATTCCCTGGAACTGGAGTTATGGGTGGTTATTAACAGTCATATGGGTGCTGGGAACAAAATTCATATCTGTTGCAAGAGCAGCCAGTGTTCTTAACTGCTGAGCCATCTCTCCAGGTCTGTTGTGTTTTTCTTAAACTCCCTTTTGCACACCCTTAGCAAGGGACTCCGAGGAGTGTTTGCCAGATAGTCAACATTCCTTAGAGACCTGGTTACCCCCATCCTTACCTCAATCAGCAAAATACATTTGGCTCTGGCTTTCATGGGAAGGAACTCAGCATACAAAGTCACCCTGGGCAAGCAAAGAGACGGGTTAAGTTTCTGAATTGCTAAGACAACAAACATTACTGCGAAAAATGATTTGAGGGTGCCTATGTCAGAATTTCCTGGGACTATGGCTAAGTGGGCAAAAAACTCTTTCCCCTCACCCCCATTCCCCCGTTCCCTACTGTATCTCAGCCTCTCTTCCAAGTCACGATCTTCCTGCCTCTGCCTCCTGAGCACTGGTTTGCAGACACACATCATGCTCTATGTGTGAGTCTCCTGACCTCTGCGCAGCACATTCTCAGGGATGGGGGCCTGGAAGCTGCATTTTTAACCAACTCTCCAGATGACCCTCAGGCCCTGTTGCTGCCTTCCTGGAGATTTGCTTGCAGCTCGTGAAGCCTAGGGGCAAATATGGTTTTAGGATCCTGGGTGCTATGATTTAGCAGCTTCCTAGCCCTCATATCCTGCATGGCCTTGTGTCCTGTGGGACGCCCTCATCCTGGTGTCAGCTCGTATATCTCTGGGGGAAGTCAGTGATGCTGCCTAAACTATAATTTCTCCACTTGTGATTAGTCACTAGTTTGTCAGGAAATATTCAGAGATTTTGTCAATATCCTGTTCTCCATAGACCCTCTACCCATAGCTATTGGCTATTTCTGCCTAAATTGACTACCATTGTTTTGGTGACAAATGGTATTTTTAATTTCTATCTTTCCCTTTTCATTTATTAGCTAACATTCTACTGAAAGAAAGCTCTTTCAGGGCCGATGAGATGGTTCCATGGATAAAGGCACTTGCCACCATGCCTGGTGACCTGAGTTTGATCCCCATAATGCCTCACATGGTAGAAGAAAATAGACTCCCACAAGGTGTCCTTTGACTTCCACAAGCTGTGTGCATGTATGAATACACACACGCACACACACACACACACACACACACACACACACACGGGCACACATGCATTTCTGCACACATGTATAATAAATTACTTTTTAAAAGAAAAGATCCCTTTTTTACATGTCTCATTCTATCTATAGATATACCCATCTTTCTATCCTCCTCCTCATCATCATCCTCTTCCTCCTCTTCCTTTTTCTCCATCTGTCTATTCATTTAATCAGTATTTACTTGCAGGCTCCTATTTCATTCTGTGAATTGTAACCCAGTATCATTTTGGTACTCACACTGGCCCACATCTGGCCATCTCTTTGACCCCTCACCATAATTTTTGAGCCTTTTCCTACTTCCTAGCACAGTAAGATGTCCAGCACCCTTCTATGCTTCAGCCCAGGAGTCTCTTATTTTTTCCAGAAATACTGACTCTTTTCGGAAGAACAAACAAGTGTGTATTCAGAGTACTCAACGTCCTGGGGAACTATTGCTTCTCCATCCTCTCAGTGGACACAGCTGAGAGATCTGTCTGTCTATTTCTCTCTCACTCTGTCTCTCTCTGTCTTTCTCTCTCATTTATCCATCCATCCATCCATCCATCCATCCATCCATCCATCCAATGTATCTACATGCTAGGCAAAAGCTTTACCACTGAGCTGTCTCCTCAGCTTTGTCTGAGACCAGGTCTTGCTAAGTTTTCTAGGCTGGCCTTGAACTCACTCTGTAGCTCAGGTTGGCCTTCCATTTGTGATCCTCCTGCCTCAACTTCCCAAGTAGCTGGGATTTTATAAGACTGTACCACTAGATCCAACTCCTCCTCCCCCACCTATATCTATTTCTCTTTCTCCTGTGTCTATTTATTTAAAAACTTGAGTTCACACTAATACTTCCAATTCTAGTCCACACTTTAGGATTCTCCTGAACCTTTCTAATTTCCAAGTTTGTAATTCCCTTCAATAACAGCCTCAGAAGTCTGGGTCTCCATCCCCACTGTGATTGCTCATGTTCTCAGTCAGTTTACACACTTGTCCCATGTAACTGATGATTTGGTGCTTCTTTCCCCCTTCACCTGGGCAGCATCGTCTGTTCCCCTTGCTGGCACCTCCATCTTCATCTCCCACTCCAGCCTGGCCTCTGAGCTACACTCCTGGCTCCTGATCAGACTCATTCTTCTAGGCCTTTGCAGGCAGAGGTGCTGGTGGACCATTTGCATCTCTAGGTCCCTCCCCTCCAGTTACTTCTAAAGGCTCAGGCTTGCAGTCCACTCAAGCTCTTAGGATGCTTGACACCTGGCACTGCCTCTACAGAAGGGCTGGGGGCCACCCTTTCCACCTGGGGAAGGTGGGGTACAGAGGGCTACTCCCTTGCCTCAAGATGGGGCAGACCCCGTGAAGCAGTGAGCACTCCTGGGATAGATGGACAATTCATTTCATGGTTGTGCTCAACAGAAGAATCCGACTCTGGAAATTTGGACTAAATGTACTAAACTCAAAAGTGAAAAGACCATGCTGGTCAGCAGGAAACTGTCCGAGTACATGGTCAAAAATGAATCCTCTCAGGGTCCTGTCCTGGCTATGCAAGTCAAGAGGTAACAGGAAACAGAAGTCAAGATCACTATGGTCACCTGAGCATGTTGGACACCAAGGGGAGGAGAGTGAGGTGACCTGAAGTGAACAGTGGCATCAAGCGGGGCAATACAGACATCCAGGGACAAACTCTCCCACTGATCCCAGACCCAAGTTCCCTGTGTGATCAGGACTTGGCCAGGAGCCTCGTCCTTACTGAACTTCTCGTTTGCTTTTGCTCCTGAGGACAGACTCTTGTAAGTCACTTGTACACAAATGTCTGCCTCAGGCTCTGTCTGCTTCCCCAGGCTCAGGAGGGTTCTAATCAAAGGCATCTCTGACCAGAGCAGGAAGAATTCTCTGGAGCCTCTGAGGGAAAAACTAGAGCATCTGTACTTCAGTCAGATGCTGTGCTGGATAGCTTTAGTGTCAACTTGACACACCTGGGTTGAGGGAGCCTCAATCGGGGAATTGCCTCTATTGGACTGGCCTGTGGCCATGTCTGAGGGGCATCTTCTTGATGAGTGATGTGGGAGGGCCCAGCCCACTGTGGGTGGTGCCATCCCTGGGCAGGTGGGCCTGTGTTGCATAAGAAAGCAGGCTGAGCAGGAGCCGAGGGAGCAAGCCTGTAAGCAGCGTTCCTCCATGGCCTGTGCTCCAGCTCCTGCCTCCAGGTTCCTGCCCTGGGTTCCTACCTTGGGCTCCCTGATGAACTGCGACCTGGGAGTTGTAAGACAAATAAACCCTTTCCTCCCCAAGTTGGTACTGGTCAGAGTGTTTTGTCACAGCAATGAAGAAACAAACTAAGACAGATGCTTTACAGAAAGGTTGGGAGAAAAGGCAAGTGTCCCTGAGTCTCACAGCACAGGTTAGTGTCCACCCCCCACCATCTGAATGTTTGAGTCCCACTCTGAAATTATACTGAAGAACATGCAACCTAGTTATTAAGTTGACTTGTAAATAAGCATTCCCGTGCTAGTTTTTGCATGTGTGTATGTGTGCATGTACAGGCCAGAGGTCGACACTGGGTGTTTTCTACAATCACTATCAACCCGTTTAAAAATAAAAAATACATTTATTTATTTTATTTTGAGTGTTTGTGTGTGTACATGGGTGCGGATGGGTGTATAGGCATGCACTTGTGGAGAGTAGAACAATTTGCAGGAGCTGGTTATCTCCCGCCATGTAGATCCTGGGGATCAAACTCAGGACCTCAGGTTTGGCAACAAGTACCTTTACCCATTGAGCCACCTTATTGGCCCTACATCTTCTTTTTCTGAGATAAGATCTCTTACTGAATCCAGACCTCACAATTCAGTTAGACTGGCTGGCCAGAGAGCTCCATGAATCTTCCTGTCTCTGCCTCCCCAGTGCTGGGATTATAGACACATGCTGCCATGCCTGGCTTTTTACATGAGTAATTGGGATCTGAACTCAGGTCCTCATGTTCGAAATGACTGAGCTATCTCCTCTACCCTCCATGCCACTTTAAATTTAATTATTTTTGGTGCTGGGGCATGCTAGAGATGTGCTGTACTGCTGAGGGACACTCTTATTCCCAGGCCATTTATAAGCCTCTTACACACATACTGGCCATGATGAGCTGGAAAGTTCTTTCCCTAATAATTGCTACTTCTCATTGAGACTCTACTGTGTGCCAAAACCACTCTAGAGATTTTCTGTGGATTATCTCCCTTAGTAAACGTCATAAGTCAGTGGGGTGGGCGATTGTAATTTCCGTTCTGTGTGTGTCTGTGTATCTTTATTTTTCATGTCCAAATTTGGATCTGTCCATGTCCTAGCACTTGTTACTAGGCCAACTCTGCGCATCAGGAAAAAACAGGAAGTAAAAGAGGCAGGATTTTCATCCCATTTTTTTTCCCCCTCAGAGCCCATCAATTATTCCCCGACTTGATGGTTTCACAGTTATAAAACACTTCTTAAGTCGGGAATGATGCACCTATCTTTAGTCCCAGCACTTGAGAGCCAGAGGCAGGTGGACCTCTGTGAGTTCAAGGTCAACCTGGTCTACATAGTGAGTTCCAGGACAGCTGGGGCTACAGGGAGACCCTGTCTCAAAAAGATTAAAAACAAACAAACAAACAAACAGTCACTTCTTAAGCTGAAATTTTTAAAAAATGTATACTTATTTTTATTTGTATGTGTACAAGTGTTTTGCCTGCCTATATGTAAGTGCACCTGTGTTGTGCAATGCCTGTGGAGGTCAGAAGAGAGTGTTGCATTCCCTGGAACTGGAGTTATGAACGTCAGCTGCTATGTTGGTTCTTGGAAACGAACCCAGGTTCTCTGTAGGAGCAGCCAGTGCTCTTAACTACTGATCCATCTCTCCAGCCCCTGAAATCCTTTTTTCCCACATTCGTTCCTTAAGATAGATTCCCCTAAATAGAACTTGTCAGAATGTGTGCTTATTTTTAAGATTTTTAGTACACAATGCCGAAGGTTTCTTCCTGTTTCTATTACTTCTACCACCTCCCTCTTAACAGGAGCATGGACAGCTCTGAGAGCCAAGGACAAGTTTAAACAGCTGCAGTGATTTCCAGGCTGG